GGGACCGACATCTCTTCTGTATCTCCGTATGTATCATATCAAAGTATCACCGCCGTCACACAGAGAACTTCCACAAATGACAGGTGTTCCCCAGAATCCAACCGTAAAACGAGGAAGAGGGCCTACAGCTCAACTGCGGTGTAACACCATAGCTATCACGAGACGGGCCAATCAGTCCGACGGGCTTAATCTCTCTTAAGGGGAGATATGGTGTGGTTCGATCGACATACGGAATTTGTCGTACGTTGGGGAGGAGGCGAGAGAGAGAGAGAGACGGAGTTCCGTAGATCCTAATACAGTAGCATCCAAGATCAGAATTCAAGTGTTGTCCTCTTCCAAGATCCTCCCTTATTGATCTTTTGTGATATTTATCATACATCATACATCATATATTACTCTCTGCGTCAAGAACTTAAAAAAATGGCAACATCTACTCCCCCAAACCCCCCCACCACCACCAGCAACAGCAACAGCAGCACCACCAGCACCGGCAAGAAAACCATCAACCTCGCCCTCCTCAGTGGCGACGGCCTCCCCATCTCTGGCCTCCTCACCACCTTCCGCAACGTCCTCGACCTGGACCTACAAGCCCATACGCCCTCCTCCTCCTCCTGCCCACCGCTCATCCGCCTCCCCATCCCCACCGACCTGGGCTACTCCTGGCGACCCGACAAGGCCGCCTTCTTCCCGCGCGGGCCCGCCTCCACCTTCTACCCGGCCTGGCTCGCCGTCACGGCCGCCACGCCCGTCACCGACCCGGGCTACGCCGCCGAGCTCCTGCGGATCCGCCGGGCGGTGGCCCTGCCGGACTCGCTGCTGAGCGGGCCGCAGAGGGAGGAGCTGCGCGCGAGGATCGACGCCATCGCTGCGCCCTACCAGCGGCACCTCGAGCGCTGGTTCGAGGAGAATGATATCGACTGGGTGGTTGCTGTTAATATGACCCTCTCGGACGCTGTGCCCGTCACTACCGCTCTCCACCGCGCTGCTGCCCAGCGCTGGGGCCCCGGATGCGGAAGTGGGAGTGGGAGTGGGAGTGGAACTGAGAGTGGGAGGAGACGCCCAGGCGGCGTCTTGTTCTGGGATCACGATCTGCTCAGCAGCTACGCCGTGCACGAGAACAACGAGCGCGTGTACCCGCTCGTACCCAACGAGTTCACGCTGGTCCCGCAGGACGTGCCGTGGCACGTGTGGGCCATCGTGTCGGAGGTGTTGGAGCCCGAGACGACGCTTTACCCCACCGAAGCGCGGGCGTTGGTGGTGCCGAACGTCCTGCCGATCCTGGGGGACGGCGAGGTAGCTGTGAAGGCAGACATTACGTTCCAGAGCTTTTTGGGGGATTTCGAACTGCTGGAGGGTGTCGGTCATGGCCGACCGGTTCTGCTCTGTCCGAATCGGATTTTCCCCGTTAAGGGTATTGAGATCTCGATTCGGGTGTTGGCTGCTGTCAAGGAGGCTTGTGTGAAGCGAGGCTTGCCAGCGCCGTATCTGTTGATTTTTGGCGATCCGGAGGAGGATCCTGCGTATGCTGCAGAGCTGCAGGCTCTGGGGCGGGAAGAGGGGCTGGTTGACGATATTCGGTTCCTCGGTGGCGTGCCGTTGTGTTCTGGGTTCAAGGGCTCCAAGGCTATGCTTGACGAGAAGGACCTTCTGCGGCTTGCGGCTGCCACTCATGGGGGTGTGGTGTACACTCCGAACACTACAAATGTAGAGAGCGTGGGCTTGGGTCCTGCTTTGGCCTCTATCGCGGGCCTACCTTTTGTAGTCTCAAAGTTCAACGCACTTCGGCAGGTGTATGGTGATGATCTGCAAGGGGTGTTTCTGGATACCAGTGGTCCACAGGGCTTTGAGCTCGCAGCCGAGTCGTTCGTCGATATGATGGAGGCCTCGAAACTTGGATCTGCGACTCGAGGTCAGCACATGGACTGGTCAAAGATGGCGCAGCAAAACAAAACTCTAATGCTAAAGAAGTTCCCACTCAGGCCGTGGAAGGATCTCCTGCTCCGTATGGCGGTTGATGGAGGTGTGGATACTCATCGGATCTTGGAGGCTCAGGCGGCGCTGGGAATTCTGGAGAGCATCGCTCCAAGAGTATAAACCAATACCATAATATAAACCAATACCATAATATAAACCATGCTTTTCATTGCGATGTACCACTAGAATAATGACATCACCATGAGCTAAATGGCTGCTGCTTTCTTCCGTACGGTCCATGGAGCTGCCCAGCCACCGCCATCGTTCAAGATTCAAGGGCGTCGTGAAAGCGGGCTACTTTTTTCCATTTAAGTTCACGAAGAGGCATTTCTTCCCCAGATTTGGCTCTTGAACCATCCTCCTCCGCACGCCAATCCCAGTACTCTGTGATTCGGTCGTCTCCATAGGTTTTAAAGTTCATATTATTGTTCGCTTCCGCAGCCTGTATGAGCGCAGCGATGCCCCTAAGCCAGATAGTCAGCGATCGCAATCTCAAATTGTATTTAGGGAATAATCTTTACCAGAACAGTCCGGGAAGACCTCTGAAGGAATCTACTTCTTGGCAAAGCGACGTGACATCAATAGTGTCGCTACTTTCGGGATCACGGTACTTATTATAGGCCAGTGCGTATTCAGAAATGAATGCTCTCCGCATGGATTGGTTTGGAAGAAAGTTATAGTCGAGATCATAGCCACCCCATTCCGAGAAGTGGCAAGCGATATCGAAAGCGGCGGGTGCCGGCATGGCATACTCGAAGTCGATGAAACCGATGGCTGCATCTGTACCAGGGAGGACTGGCTCGCGCTTGAGAACGTTCCCAGCATGCAGATCGCAGTGCGAGAAGACGAGCTAAGAACATCGTCAGCGCGAAGCACAACACACAGTTTGCAGGGCAGTGTTGATCTCACCTTCGTGTCTGCGAACTTGGCCTTGAGAAACTCCGATTCCGCCAGAAAGGAAAGTTGTCTCTCCTTGTCTTCCTCTAACGCTGCTGGTAATGCCATGATCCACTTATTCAGGATAGACCAGAGGTTTGGAGTAGGTTTCTCCAAGCCAGATCCTCCCACCGGCACGCGTGCATGCCACTCCGCCATACAGCGCGCGACGGCTCTGTAGATAGGCGCCATGTGAAGGTCAGTAACTCTGCACGTCACGCCAGCCGAGAATCCATAGATGTAGCCGTTCTGGAAGCGCGCAAAAATGGGAGGAACCAGTCTTCTCTGATGAAGAATCTGATGGCACTCGATTTCCCCTAGTAGGAAAGTCAGTTGCCATTCTCCTTCTCGAGTCGTAAACACGTACTCTCTCGGTCGACCAAGACGCTCTGGCTGTTTCCATAGATGCGGACGAGTAGCTCCGTACAGTGTTTATCGACTCGGGTTACTTTGTACAGCTACGATAAGTATATGTGTTATATTAGCCCAGGTGACTAGGTTCGTGGTTTGCCCGCTGGGCTGGGTTCTTGGTAGAGATAGGTAGCTGGGTAGGTAGCTAGGTAGATTACTTGCCGTGTTGTTGACACCGCCTGTTAACCTCACGATCTCGATCGTGCCCGATCTTTTTTCCCAGTCTGGAATCAGAAGTACGATATGATACATCAGCGGCATGAGTTCCTCTGGCTTGTTTGGGTGCAGAGTGATAGCCAGCATTGGGAGATCTGGGATCGAGGGTGTGGGCTCAGCCATGTTAATTTGATGTTAAGTTGATGAGTTAATGAGTTGACGCTGAGTTAATGAGTTGACGCTGAGTTGATGAGTTGAGGTTGGGCTTGAGGTTGATGTTGCTGTTGCTGTTGCTGTTGCTGTTATTGTCGTTGCCACCTGCCTGCAGATTGATCCAAGTCTTGAGGAGGAAGCTTGAATCCTGATTTACTCGTCTCGTGCTTTCCATCTGTGTGACCATCAAATGTCTCAGGCCGGCCAATTTCATGGCCAACTGCAGGACTCAGGTACCTTCTGCTTTCATCATGGCCTAGGCCTATCAATCATGGGCAAATCCTGAGAGCTGTGGCTGTATACTCTGATTGATCATGTGAGGTTATATATACGCCCATATACATCATGTTTTCTTTTTCCTTTCCATCGTCTCCGACCTGAACTGGAGAGAGTGGATGTTCAGTGAACAGGGCACAGGACAGTAGCCGAGAAGATAAGTAGCTTGAAAACGTCACGTGATCTGCTATTCTCCCCCACTTTCGAGAATCAATCAGACGTACAGTCGATCTGTTGGGCGTCAAATTCTCGTTTATATACGACCAACTGACTGACCAAACTTTCCTTCTTTTTTCTTTTCTTTTTTTTTTTTGGTATTTTTTTTTGGATTTTTTTTTGGATTTTTTTTTGGATTTTTTTTTCTTTAAAAATCAAGTCCAATGCCCTTGATCCTTGGATGTTCTCATATAGATCAGCTGACCTATTCAGCTGACCTGTACAAGCAGTCGACCCTCAAATTCCGATACATGAAAGCAAAACTTCATTCTCGATTCTAGAGACTTCATCTCTCCGTAAATCTATCTATCTATCTTCCAGAATGTCAACACACCTCGAGTCCCTCACCCGCGACGGCTTCGTCCTCATCCCCTCCCTGCTCACGCCCTCACAGATCGCCACTCTCCGCGCCGCCAGCACCGAAGTCATCACCACCGCCCGTGCTGGAAACTGGCCCTTCGTCCGCACCCTTCCCAAGCAATTCCCGCCCTGGCCCATCCCAGCCGGCGCAAACCCAGCCGAGAACGGGATCTGGGGCGTCCAGTTCCTCATGCACCCCCATCTCCCCAACTCCAAAATCTTCGTCTCGAACTACTTTTCCACGCCCATTATCTCGGTGGTCAAGGAACTCCTGGAATGTGACGACGAGGACTTGGTCATGGAGCTGTTCAATATCTTGGTACGGCCGGACCGGGATTTTGAGCTGCGGTGGCATCGGGATGATATCCCGTCAACCGCCACCGCGGAAGAGGAGCTTGAGAGGTTGAGGGAGCCGGCGTGGCATGCCCAGTGGAACCTGGCGCTGTGGGATGATGATAGCTTGATTGTTGTGCCCGGGAGCCACAAGCGAGCGCGCACGGAGGTCGAACGGGACGCTGATCCGTTTGAGAAAGGCATTCCGGGGGAGATCAGGGTCCAGATGAAGGCGGGGGATGTGGTGTTTTACAATAATAATATCTTGCATCGAGGAGCGTATGTTAGTGGCAAGGAGAGGATGACCCTGCATGGGAGTATGGGCCATCGAAAGGGTAGTGTGCTGAGAGCGCGGAATGTGCTGCAGCATGGTATTGGAGAGTGGGTGGCGGATATCGATCTGAGTGGCTTGGAAGGCGAGGAGAGGAACAGGGCTGAGAGCATGAGGGAGAGGCTTATTCAATTGGGGGCTGATAATACTGATGTTGGATTCTCGCTGGAGGGGTGATCTTATATACCTACCACCCTCACAGACCCTAGCGGCAACTCCGCCCATCTCGGAATGGGCTCCATGTAGCGCGGGTGTAGAACGCAGGTATGCGAAAACACTTATCAATTGTATAACCTTTCATTCCTGGGTTTTCCCACACGAGAAACCCCTCGCTCCCGCCCCCCTTCAACTGGGAAGTAGAGATGATGATTTACTTACACTAGACTGAAAACGAGCGGAATAATTAATGATTATAAGAAACTCATCGCCCCATCACAAACCAAACCAAACTACTGCAAGAGCTCCCTTCGGTAGCACAGTTCACTCATTTTTTTGCCTTACCATTCGTGATCTATCTCCGAGCTCTGCTGGCATTCCTTCCCACGCTCCGAAAGTACATCGAGCAAGCTCAACCATCCCATTTCAAATCAACTACACCGAGATATGCACGCCCACTAACGATGCTTTCGATAGCGAGAATTGAAACGACGACAGTATGCGGAAATTTGCAAGTCGTTTTCGTGGCCCAGCGAGGCTGGAAATCCGTTCATTCGGCCTGTATGCTTGCTTGACAATTTTGCTTACATCACCAACACAGTCCACTGTTTCCAGAACATGATCTTGGAGCTGCTGAAGAATGCACTGGGCTAAGCACCTCAGTCGTGGAAGTCTTAGAGGTATGGGTATCCACGTATAATCAGAGTTGCCAGCCCCGGTCTCGCCCTTTGGTTCCTTTTAAGAGGGAGTCCTGGGAAGGAAGGCAGACCGCTAGAAAACTTCCCCAACTCGATATTAAGCGAGTGACCACAAATCAACAAAAAAAAAAAATCAAAATTGAAAACCTGCAAGAATAAAACAGAGTGGATTTTTTCCACAAAAATAATTAGAATCCAAAAATATTCCCCATTAAAAAAAAAGCCCCGCACATAAGTAGATGCGAAATATTCTGAGCCAAAATGTAATTCCGGCGTTCCAATTACCAGTTTGTCCTGAAGATGACCCTGCCTTCTGAGCCATCCCGCCTGCTGGATGAAAGTCACGAGAACTATCAGGGTATATCACTAAGATGCGAATTTTGTTTTTGCCTGCCGTCGGCGAGGGAGCGGAGGCCGTGCTCGCTGGCGCCTGCCTAATCGCAAACGAGGTGAGTGAATCTTGGAAAGATTTGCGATTTGATTTCCGTTCCCTCGTAGGAGGACCTCAGTTCCTAGTTCCTATAGAACCAGCGCATAATGGATCTCTCACAATAAAAACAATTGCACGCATCGACGGCGGACCGATTATCTTCGGCGCTACATACCAAAACCTCTCTTGCCTACCAGCTCTCGCAAAGATTCGCATCTCAGGGTAGTAAGTGGTACAGGACATCATATCCCGATGGCAAGCTCCGTCAAGCTCGTTAGGTTGGGACTAGACCTATCTAATCAATGAGCGGCTTGTATTATGGACATGTAGCAACCAATCGACAGTAAGATAAAGCCGTGACGGTGAGTATCCAGCGTAGCGCCAGAATGTAGTTATTTTCTCTCGAGAGCTGATCGACGTGGTTCGATGCTACGCGATCATATTGGCCCGACCAAACTCATAACTAAACCAACCCATCCTTACCAAAAACCGTAGTAGACCATTCACAAGTCTATATCGAAATCCTTGCAGAAGGCTCGAAATCATGATAGCTTACCAATCTCCAACATGTAGATTATATATGTGTTCATAGTGAACAGCAGCGTGGTCGCGCAACCGTACCATGCTAGGAGGGAATGAAGTAGTGTGTATGCCTTTACGTACCACCAAATAGTGCTGTACCATTGATCCAAGTGGCCACGTACATGCAACACTCGGCATATCCGACATGCTTACTATTTGTAAGTAGCCATTTCAGTGTATTAGAGCCATCGCATGTTACAATACACTTCCATCAATCAACGAACATGACGCACGAGCATGATCTTAAGCAGTCGAACTCAAATTTTCCTGAGCGCAGTTCATCGGAATCCGAATCCAGCGTGCTCAAATGGCTCCTGCACTTTTAGTCGGTTTGAAAAGGTTGATGCTGGTTAGCTTGCGCCCTGCGAGTCTTGATATGCACAAGGATAACCAAGACAAGCAGATATATGCTCGCGGCTCATAAGCAGCACCAAAGTAGGTATTGCACAGCCATATAAAAGTCATAACAAGACAATATATTCTTGAATACGAGTAAAGTTTAAGAAAGACTGTTGAATGTACTCCTCCTCCTAACCCCCTTCCCCGACTGGTCCATTAACGAGATCCCGGCTACCCTGTCTGTTGAATGCTAAAAATTATAATACAAGAAGATGTTGGCCTACGCGACCGGAAGAGTTACTGGCCTCGCCTGAAGAAGGATGTTAGCCGGTTTCTGACTTTGGGGTTTGGATCTTGAAGATGAGAGTCGTGTCGGAAGCGAAGATGAATGACCTGGAAAGATGGTGGGATCTAGACAACAGGGAGAACTTACGACTGCTGGGGCGGCGGTTGCGGCAGCTGCTTTTGATGCGGCGGCTTGCTGGGCCTGGATCGTTTAGCGAGGGCATGGGACAACATCATTGATGGATGACTTACTGCTTTCCAAGCGGCCCGGGCGGCGCTATAAGTGGTTGACGACTGATTGTTTATCAGTCAAGTCCGTGTCAGAGTTCAAGGGGGGAGTGGAGATGTGGTTTTTTTGGGCGAGTTTCCCAATAACATTTAGATATTTCGGGGGTGCTTTTTGAGCATGGAACGAGATTTAGACTTACATTCGCGGCGCCGGAAGAGGCAGTTGCGTTCATCACGCGTCCCTCTTCGAGCAAATTGAGGTCCTGGAGATAGATCGAAGCGATTTGCTCCTTAGTGAGGTCTGTTTTTTGGGCCGCGACTCCGGAAGCAGTAGCGGAAGCCTGTATCGAGTCAGATATATTTCACAGATCGGAGAGTGCTCAACTGACCGTTCCATTCTTTCCTGCAGCCACATTGGTTGAATTCGTCACTCTACTCACACCTATAGGCCCCTTATTTCCCTTATCTCCACCAGCCTCAGAGATTCTGTTTTCACTAGTCGGTGTAAGTCCAGTGGCCCCTTTATTTCCCTTCTTTCCACCAGCCTCAGCGGTTGCGTTTTTGCTAGTTGCTGTGAGCCCAGTGGCACCCGTGCCCTTCTTTCCGGTGGCGCTTGTTGCGGCTTGACTAGCCGTAAGTGTAGAGTTCCATTCATGGCCCTTGCCATTCATGGTAGCGCCTCCATTTGTTGCTGGCGAGTTTGCTGTGACTGTGCCATTGGTAAAGGCTTTTACCTTCCTTGGCGAACGACCGGTGATCTCAGCGACTGAAGTATGTTAGTATCCCGGGCGCTCGAGGAAGTAGGAATATTTACCATATGAATAAGGTGTTCTGGCCGCATTCTGGCTCTCTTGCTCAGGCAAGGCACGAGCAGAAACGACGGAAGCAGAGACCACAAGGAATGTGAGGATGGAGGTGAAGTTCTTCATGATGATGATTGAAAGTGCGAAATAGTGGATTGAGGATAAAATTATAAGCACGCCTTCTTTTGAAAGTTAGTACGTTCATGTGGTCACGACTCAGGCAGACGTACCTCTTTGAATACAAATAGCCTGCAAGTAAATAGAATGAATGGGTTGATGGAATGAAAAAGATTATACGGAAAGACTCTTGGTATCTTATAGGAGACAGAGAATCGATCGCGGAGCACTACCATCTCTATGTGCAAGGTCGTTTAAACTATCAGGATTGGATAGCTCGGTCAATAGACCAAGACTCGTCAGCTCACCGTCTCATAGCATAACTAGCTGTTTTGGAGACCGCTGTCAAGCTATCCAACAGACAGATGGCAAGCGAAGAGCGAGGACAAAGGCATGGGTGATCGGATAGCACAGAAAGAGAAGTCATCATAGCATAGCATGGCACGTATGCATACGAGGAGGCTCCTTAGACATCGTCCCAGCGCGTCGATCAAGGTTAGAGAAGCAATGGCTGCTCCAAGCTTGGGCGGCACGTCGAAACGAGGTGATGCTCCTCCGTATGTTGGTGCGGCTTTCGACGATGGCCGGGGGGCCGTGACAAAGCGGATGCTGAAACAGATACAGCGCCAGACAACATGTCATAACAATAACTACTATGAGTTGTATCTCTCGTCTGCAACCGGGAGCGTACTTGCCGAGTTATGAAATATTGCTAAGCTAGCTAAAAGCTCATCGGTTGGAAGATCGGTTACCCAAAGCGACACATAGCGGATTCCCACAAAATGCCAGGTGTTTTTAGAAATAATCAATCTGGCAAATGAGCTATTGAAGATCTTGACACAAACGGTTCTCTTCAAAGAGAGAGGTACAAGTGTTAAGGTCAAAGATTAGATCGATGGGGAAAGATCCGCTGGTAAATTCGCTATTGTTATCAAATCCTCTGTCTTATGTCAATTGGGAGACTCCCTGGGGCAGAGTGAGTTGATCAGGAACAGAGGACGTATACAGTGTTGTGGGCACAATGCCGACAGTATCCAATAATCATGTTGTTGTTGATCTTGTTGCTGTTGTTGTTACCGAGGGTTGTTACCATGGCTCCAAGTTGTTGTCGTTGCCCTCAAGGACCCGTTGAAATTGAGATCTACGAACGTCCCGGACCGGGATCCGGTCGTGCGACGGGCTTTGATTCAGGCGGCCCGTGATTCGCTCCCGTGCCCGTGCCCATCCATGCCAGACCTCGGTACAAAACTAGGTCGGTGATCTAGTCTGACTCGATCAGATCTCTCAGAACTCGACATCGACATCGAAAGTTGGCCACCCGACTGTTAACAACACAACACCACACCCGGCCTGGCAATGCCGTGACCTTCAAACATGGCCTCCTCCAGATCCGTCACTGCGATTCTGCAGCGCAATCTGCTGAGGCGGAATGCTACCAGAGCTGTAGCCCAACTTCCACGATTTTTCCAATCCAATTCAAGCCTTGCCCGCCCCCGCACAAGCTTCCCTCCAACCCTGGCCCACTCTCGACCTTTCTCGATCACAACTGTAAGGAAATTTGCGGATGTCAATGAGGACTTTGATCTCAAGTCAATTGATCGGGAGAGCGACGAGGTCGATGTATGTATTGTCGGTGGAGGTAAGCTCTCTGGGAAGAATGCTAGCAAGCCCTCCACTAATGAACAGCAGGTCCTGCTGGTTTAAGTGCCGCTATTCGTTTGAAGCAACTCGCAAATGAAACTGGCAATGAGGATTTCCGAGTTTTGCTGCTGGAAAAGGCAGGAGAAATTGGGGCGCATATCCTTTCTGGAGCGGTCATCGAACCTACTGCAATCAACGAGTTGATACCAGACTGGCGGGCAGAGGACAATGAGAGCGGATTCAAGGATGTCACACCGGCTGGGACCGATAAAATGCGATTCCTTACAAAGAGAAGCTCGATTCCCATACCTGCCCCGCCACAAATGAACAACCACGGAAATTATATTGTCAGTCTGAACCAGTTTACCAAATGGCTAGGAGAGAGGGCAGAAGAGATTGGCGTAGAAGTGTATCCTGGATTTGCTGCATCGGAAGTGCTGTACAAGTCGGACGGGTCAGTAAAGGGTGTCGCCACCAATGATTTAGGTATCTCGCGGGAAGGGAAGCCCAAGGATAGTTTCGAGCGAGGCATGGAATTCCACGCCAGGACTACACTTTTTGCAGAAGGATGCCACGGAAGTCTCACGAAGCAAGTGATAAAGAAATTTGATCTACGAAAAGATAGCCAACCCCAAACGTATGGTCTCGGACTGAAGGAGGTGTGGGAAGTCCAACCAGAGAAGTTCAAGAAGGGTGAGATTACACATTCGATGGGTTACCCCCTGCCGGCGGATACATACGGTGGCGGATGGATGTACCACTTTGGAGACAATCTCGTTAGTATTGGGCTGGTCGTTGGGCTAGACTACCCGAATCCATGGCTCTCTCCATATGGCGAGTTTCAAAAGATGAAGCATCATCCTCTTTACAAATCTGTTCTAGAGGGCGGAAAATGCATCTCATACGGAGCACGAGCCCTTAACGAAGGCGGTTTTCAGTCGATACCTAAAGTCGCTTTCCCAGGAGGTGCTCTGATCGGCGACACAGCAGGTTTCCTTAATGTTCCCAAAATCAAGGGCACTCACACAGCCATGAAATCTGGAATGTTAGCTGCAGAGGCAACCTGGAATGCTCTCAGCGCAAGCGACAGCGGTACAATATTCTTGTACGAATACGAGGACTCCCTCCGCAACTCCTCTATCTGGAAAGAGCTCAAGGAAGTCCGAAATATGCGTCCCTCCTTCCACACCCCGCTGAAACTTTACGGCGGCATCATGTACTCCGGTCTGGAAGCATATGTTTTGAAAGGCAAGATTCCGTGGACGCTCAGCCACAAAGGTACCGATGCTTCGGCTACAAAGACAGCGGACCAGTGCAAGAAGATTGAGTACGAGAAACCAGACGGGAAAATCAGTTTCGATATCCTGACGAGCGTGAGTCGGACGGGAACAAACCATGAGGAGGATCAGCCGGTGCATTTGCAAGTTAAGGACTGGGAGAAGCATGCTGCTATGGAGTGGCCAAAGTACAAGGGTGTGGAGAACAGGTTCTGTCCGGCCGGTGTGTATGAGTATGTGGAAGATGCGACGAAGGATATTGGGGTGAGGTTTCAGATTAACGCTCAGAAGTAAGTCTTCCTATCGCTCATGGCGGGTAAGTGCTGACAGGCGGTAGTTGCATTCATTGCAAGACTTGTGATATCAAGGTTCCGGATCAAGGTAAGCTCACTCAGATCAGAAGGCCCGGTAAATGCTAACATTGGCTAGATATCAACTGGAGCGTACCCGAAGGCGGAGGTGGACCCAAGTATTATATGACATAGAGTTATTCGGAATGTTGAAGTCCTGTGTGTTCATACACACACATATATATATACGTCAAAAAATTAGAGGCAATACACGCAAGGATTTCTCAATCATAATCCAATAATAAATTTAATCCACCTCACCACTTCTCCGGAAGTAGTGACACAACTCTACCACAACACCGGCTTGCTAGCTCCAAATATCTAGTCAATGTGTACTGTGGTTTGGCATCGAGCATTGATTCGTCCACGACGTTAGGTTGGGCTCGACTGGTCAAGTTTTTTGCTTGAGGGAGAGGGCGTTGCTGCTATCCGCAGCTCTGCTGCCATCTTTACTATCCTTGCCAATTCATATCCGGAGACTCCTAAATCTCATACTACATATGATAACAAGACAATTGCTTGACGCTAACCTTGCGTTTTGCACGAGTATGCAACATGTCTTCGCATTGCATAGCGCCTACTCCGCGAGACGAACAATGGGTTTTTCGCCGTAAATCTGAGCATGCGAGCCTTAATCACAAAGAGCCTTTATAGTTTAGTTCTTGAGGGGTTCAGAAGCGGCACTGTATTTCTGAGCAAGTGAAAGTATGGCTCGTTCAAGAAAAGGATGGATGCGATTCAATAGGGAGCTCTCTGCCACCTCCCATTCGCTATTCACACCCAGCGTGCTTTCCTCCTTGCTTGCCTACGCCCCCATTCGCTTGTTTGTATTCGGGCCCTCGAGATTTTTCCAATTTTGGATTTATGCAAGCTTCTTCTCCGGATCTCCTCCGTACTCAAGATGGCTTTCAGTACAGTGGCTGCCTACATGTTTCGCGTGGAGATTCAGGTCAGCCTCTAACTCTCTCTAATTCTAAGGCGTGCGCGTCTCGCAAGCATCGTGACTGCTTAATGTTTCCAGCCTCTCCTTCCCTTTCCCTTCTCGTGCCATATGATCTGATCTTCTGGTGGGAAAGCAGGTCAGGAGCCTTGAGCCCGCCCAATTGAGGTGTTGACAGCGCTTTCAGAGTCGACAGCAAAGAGCACCCGTGGTGGCGTCCCGAGTTAGGGAGTAGCTCATCAATTGTTCACTACTATCCAGTTATGCTTCGTTGTCAAGGGGGTTCGGTCTCTGTCGTATGTCCTGCCCAATGTGCTGAGAGAAAGTGGCCAGCATTTGATGTATGTGGCAATAACCTATACCCAGTTATCTCTTGGCTAATACTCCTGGTCAGATCTATGTCGAAGCCCGCGTCTTTCAACGCAACAGCTATCTCTGTTGGCGTTATCCCTAGCGCGGTATTTTTTAAAATTTGTGTAGAAGGGCTACGGCTGATCTTACAGTACAACAGATTTGATACCATCTAACTTTCAGCATTCACGAGGTTCGGTCTGTAAATTCGGATTTCCAACGGCAACTCGTTAGATATTTTTGAAAGGAATAGACATACGTACGCAGATGGACGGACTAAAATAAAAAACCGGCGTATATCTAAGCTTAACTTAATTCATGACCCGTTCCGGCGTAATATTTCTTTGCGGCCTGGAGAATAGACAAGTCGGATGACCCTCAAGCATCCTAAGGGGTGAATCTCCGTGGAAGGAGGTTCCCAATCTCGCTGATATGATGACTCCCGCACCAATTCAAGAAACCGACCGTGATTCCTCTCGAGACTCCGCTCATGGCTCTATTCTCATGCTGCCAGCCTGCGCCTGCATGTTTCCTACAGGGAAAATAGTCGGGCGTCCTATATATGATGTGCGGTTCCCGGGTGACGACAACAAGTGCAGGCTCATCTCAATTCATCTATAACCACTTCAATTACCAACACTGCTCTAGGCTGTCTTCGTCCATACCACCACCAGCACGAGGCAGGCACTTCCGTGCGACTGGAACCTCGAGAGCTTCTCCTTGGTCTACTTTTCCAACCCCAAAACCCTGGATACATAGCTCGTGGAAGCAAAGCCACCTTCAACCCTTCTCGATACCGATACAATGCGTGGTAGGTTCTAGACTACGGTGTTTGCAGGTTTTAATTTGATAATATGGATTTGCTCCATGGGGAACGGCGCGTGAGAATTCGCCATGAGGTTAATGTGCAGATTCTGTATCAGTGAACGAGTGGGATAAAGGGTATAGATTCTACAGAGGCTTAATCAGGGTAGATAAAAAAAGGGGGGGGGGGGGATAGGCGTCGCTTAAGGGCTAAAGAGGCCAAGCTATTAGGGCGTCGTGAAGCGAGGCTAAATCAACATGTTCTCAGGTCCGCAACCCCAAGAGGACACTTTTAAGTCTTGTCTGTCAATCTTGAAAACTGCCTGGGAAGATATTAGAGTTTTTAAGTATCATAACTGATCTGGAGGTGCCTGATGAGTTGTTATTGCCTCCAGCTTTGATAAGTGATAGCCAGGAGCTAGCTCGCTTCGGCAAGCCTTTGGACCAGCTCCAACCAGACTCCAAATGCACTTCTAATTACCTTTCAGTACTGAAAGATACTCATTGTAGTAACCAAGTCCTTTGTAGGATATAAGGTGACCCGTACCCTGGTTGTTTCGACCAGTCCTAAGAAGTGATGCCTGTGGCTGGTCGAAGACTCCACCACAACTGATTCTTTTCGACTCCCCTCGAAAAGATACTACCAATCGAAAAGTCCTGCAACCTGCTGAGTCTTTCTGACTTATCTAGCTTATCTGATGGGCTTCAGGGCAAGCTTAGCGCGTGAGGCTAGCCTTGCAGTGCACACATATAGATCTTCGCGACGACGCCAACACCATCAACCACTCGCAACGCGTCGTTTGCGACCCAACCACAACCTCCAGTCTTTGGGAGCTTGCCAGTCATCTATCCAACTCTCTTGCTCGTCTTCAAAGTCATTCGCTTCTCAAAAAATGGCGCCCGCGTACTTCGCCGATTTCCATCCGTTCGAGAACCTCCTCGTCACGTTTGTGGGCTGCAACATGTTCTGTGAGGAGGAGATCGATATCTCGGTCGAGGCCATCGAGGACTTGATTGGAGTCATGGAGAAGGTGGCGTCCCAATTGAAAGAGTGCGCAGTGGATGAGTTCCCTCGCATCAAGTCGGAGCATGAGCACGCCATCAAGCTCTTCTTCTGGACCATGAGCTGCGACTGGATGGTCTGGGAGCAAAGGTACACTCAACTGAAATCACTCAACGCAACTCACCCAGACCGACCTGCTGATCATCCCGATTTGCTAACAGTGTAACCACCAGCATCTACGACAAGCTGTACGAGGTCCTGGGCGTGATGAAGCAGCCGGCCAACAATTTCCAGCAGCTCTTCCCCGTGCTCCCGACGCTCGCTTACGGCATGAGATACTTCCTCCGAGCCATGATGCCCGGCTTCCACGACCCGCGCGAGCACCGCGAGCTCTTTAGTAGCATGGCCCGCATGGCGGCCCAGCTCTACGATGAGACCTACCGCGACCACCCGACGCACGAGTGGGAGAGCTTGCCCGACGCGCACCCGATCTTCGGTCTCGGGGGCTGCATGCACCACTTCCAGGTTCACGACGGCATCAGGATCGGCTTCCGCATCGATCCGGCTTACGTGCAGGAGAATCAGGAGTGGGATAAGACGTGGAAGGTTTTCGGCCATAATGGGGCGGAGGTGGGAGACGTTTGGGCGTGTCAACATGCGCTGTTGCGAGATTGTGTACACGGTAGGCACCCCACCTCTCCCTCCCTTCCCTCCTCAAAGCCATAATTGATAAAAGGAAGAGCTAACCCCGCCACAGGTGATAGGCAATCGGGGGTTTCCGGCAACAGAGAAGAAGGTGCTTGGAGCGTGGTCGTCGGTGACAGACAGGGACATGTTGACACTGGTGACCGAATCATCTACGAAAGCGCTGCAACCTTGTACACCGTCGCCGCCGGGTGTACTACACCCAAACGGACCGGGGCAGCTACTCTGTTCAAGTCCGCATCCCAAAAGAAGCCCGTGAGAGTCTTCCGAAAAAGTGGGAGCTGCGGCCGGGTTGGGTATCCCACCAAAGGACTGCGTTATGACGGCCTCTACGAGCCAACCTTGGGGGGGCAGAAGCCCGAGCTGAAGCAGAATGGTGATCCCACTGGTAGAACCATCTTTCTCTTCATCCTGGACCGCTTGCCGGGACAGCCAGGCATCGCTACCAATCGTCCTACCGCAGCTGAGGCCGCCGTCTTTGGGGAGGTCAAGAGGGCTGCTGCTGAATTCCTGGAAAGCTAAGGGGAGGGTTCTTGAATAGTAGGTCTCTTCATTCAACATGTACTTTTAGAAATCTCGAGCGGGGATCATCGCAGTGAGAGGATGGTCGGGCCAAAGAAAAGCTCATGACACCTGAATGGAAAGCAAAGTGATGCCTCGAGAGTTTTCGGACCGAACAATCGACTTGCTCTATGCTCCTATGGCTTTAGGCATGTACTCCTCCTTCAGCTTCCCAAGCCCGATTCTCGGCTCGTAGTTTTCCACGTCGAACCCACCAAAGTCCCAGACCGTGTAACTCAGCTGGATAAGTCTGCCCCGCTCAGCCCATATCCGAAAGCCTCGCTGGATTCGAAAGGCGGGAAGCAGTTCTCCTGGCTGTTGGCAGAGCCAGGATTGGCAAGTTCGTCCCCCGTCACGGTGATGGTGTAGCGACCATCGTAGGAGTCCCAGCCGCCAAAGTCAAAAGAGACAGACCAGGAGTCGTCGAATTCGGAGCAGAGCGGCAGGTGATCTCCGTTGATGATGGCCGTGTAGTCCATGCCGATCGATGTGTAGAAGTCGTCAATCAGCTCCGGAGGCACTAAGATCCTTCCCATAAGAGATTCCGAAAAGCGGGAAGTCAAGCAGTCCATTCTGCATGAGAGTGTCGACCAACCTTGTGGCATTGCTAGCGGCTATGTCGCTGAAGGCCAGACCGAGGAATCCATCGGCAGGCAGCCATCTGTAGGAGGTGTCCGCGACACAGGAAGGTTTGCTGCCACGACCACTTGGTACCTGGACGCTCGGTTGCAGTCTCGGGTCCGGAAGGGGTAGATTTCGACGTTACACTGAAAACATCTGCTGATGCGCTTCCAGCTACGTAGTCGGCAATGTTCTGAATCTCTTCATATAGAACTTGCTGTATCGACGTGGAGGATTCCGAGGCGTGGCGTTGCGGCTTCCTTCGACCTTCTATACATTCTCAGTAAAGCTCGGATGAGCTGTTGTCACTCCATGCCAAGCTCGCGAGGCTCACAACTCATATGTGGAGATCATCATCCGAAGGGGATCCCGTGGTTGCCTCCGTAGATGGATATCATCTACCCAGGGTCGTGAGGCTGATACATCGATGCGCTACGATTGCGCGCTGTGTAAAAAATCAGAGAGGAATGTTATCAAAGAGTTCTCACGCTCAAGAGCTAAATATCATGTTGATCGCCAGATGTTTGAGCGCAGAATCACAGAAATATTTATCGTCCAGGATAAGGATTCGATCTGACTTCCTAGTTGTTGTGATTTCCGCCAGCATGGATTGATTGATTGATGGAGCGGCGAGAAGCTCTCACTGAATATATATATAACCTTGCCATCACTTCTCGATAAGTACCTAGCACCTTCCAGAGAACGGTGAACCGCATACCTAGTGAAGCCTTCCAGTGCACGTCCTTGAACGAGGTCTCGCCAAAGAAATAGGGGTTCGTCAACATCGACTTGTGAGATCGTTGATATAACTCGAAATATGAATTACACTATCACAATCTCACACCTCCAGTAGGACTCCAATCACCAGAAAACAGGGCTAGTTCGCTTGAGTTTATATATATATTGATGACTGCATTGCCTCGGCGAGGACTTTCGATGAGCACTTCTTTCTCTTCTCCGTGTACTTTTGCATCCCCTTGAGAAGAGTATGTAGCCGCTAGGCCGAGAGGTCTGATGCCCTTTGAGGTACTACGTATTTACCATCGTCGTCGTCGTCCTTGCCCTTACTCGTCTCTACCTAGTACCGGTATCACCTCCCAACTCAAATTCATCATTATAATTATACCACGGTACAGGCCTAAGTATTACCCCCTGAAGATAGGATAACCAGGGTGTCTAAAGTGGAAACCATACTTCTGAGGCACCCTCAAGGTACTGTACGTACTACTAGTAACATTTAGGCCTGTACCATGGTAGTAGTATTACCCCTCAAGACTAGGGTAACCAGGGGCTTAAGCACTGTAGTACAGTAGTGGAAACCAAACTTTTAAAGCCCCCTCCAGGGCCCTCAAGGGGTAACAATCACGCCGGTACCGCGGTAATTGTACGTACTACGTAGTAGTAGGTAGTAGGTAGTAAGTTTATAGTTGCCGCATAAAGTTCGTAAATCTAGTACTGTACCTACTGTACCTACACAACCTTAAAAACCCCGGGTTAAGATACCGTAATACTACCTTAAAAAGGCAGGTGGGGCATCTCCGGACCGTCTTCGGACCGTTTCTTTAAGTAAGCGATAGTCTGTCTTTCTTGAAATTTTTGGTACGGTCAAATCTCAAGAGAAGATTGACCACTCGTCGCTCAGACCTAATATACTACTAATTAGTATCTGATAAACACCTATCGATTTAAATGATTTACCGAGTACGTGGTGACTGAGGTGGAATCGATTTGATCGATTGGATTATCGTTTATGAAATTCCGTTCTTCTGTAAAGAGATTGTTACTAAAACAGGACCATTTCAATTAATTGAATCGTCGTTTTATTAAAGTCCGTCTTGTCTTTTTGAGAAAACACTATCCTGATTATCCATATGGCCATCTATACGATATCTATTTCCTTAGCTCAGAGCAGGTTCTACACATCCTACATCTTCCGCCCGCTGGTAGACGAAAATCCGTATCTCCTCCCCGTCACCCCCCAGCACAGACACCCGCACCACCGCCCTCTCCCTCTCCTCCCAGCCGGCCCCCGCCATCTCCGTGAAGAAGACCCCCTCGGATCGGTGCCGATCCTTCATCGCCAGCAAGACCGTCGTCACCCGGCCGTCGTTCCTCGTCGCCGCCAGTCTCCCGAACGTGGCGACCAGGTCCGGGATGAAGTCGGGATTGTAGGTGCAGTCCGCCACGAGGATGAGATCCCAGGCCGTCGCTGCGATGTCGCGGGGCAGGGGCGCGGTCCAGTCGAGGACGCAGCGCGTGGGCGTTGGGAGCGCCGGCTGGGCCGCGAGGGCGCGCGGCGAGAGGTTCGTGGTGAGGATGTCGGTGGCGTCGGGGAGGTCTGTGAGCACGATCTTGGAGACGTTGGGGAGTGCGAGGCGGGAGAGCGTGATGCCGACGATTCCACAGCCGGCGCCGAGTTCGAGGACGTGCAGGTTGGGCTGGGGGAGTGTTGCTGCTGCGAGAGATGGGAGCGGCGGCATGGCGGCGGCTGAAGGTGTTGCGATGGGCCCTCTTGCGTAGATGGCTGTGAGGTAGGCGGAAAGTACCAGGCCCGCATCCCTAGGTACGTGGCATTAGTCGAGACGGTGGAATCAGTACTTACCTAGCTGCACCTACCAAATGTGCCGGGCAATAGAGTTGCCGGTCTCCTCCCAGATGTGCAGTTCCGGGCCTCCCTCCTGGGTGAAGATTCGTTCACACAAGCCAGTCTCTCCGACCACTGCCCTGGCTCCAACCACACCTCCCTTGTCTTGGGCGAGTATATCCTGCCAGTTGCGTACTGGTATCATATCGGGAACATCCGAGTCTTGAGCTGCACCAATGTACATCTTCAAGCTCCCTATCTCTATGTTCTTCGCCGTCCTTGGAACATGGACTTCGACTGATAAGCCTGAGTGTGCGTAGCTCACGTTCCAGAGGTATCGCCCGCCGACGGGTCTCGGCGGTCGACTGCCGTCCGAGATGCTGTTTCCACTCGCATCTTCAAGAACAACGAGAATGTCGAGGTCTGAAGCGAGGAAGTCGTCTCCAAGATCATTGGTGATGGTTATACGGGCCTGCACACTTGGTGGTCCGCCAGCAGGCGTGACCAGCCGCGGAGTCTTCAGGAAGCGGATATAGTGCATGTTGGGCGGGAGGGAGATGTAACGCAGCAGAGCGGAAGTTTTGTTCTTTGGTAGCGGTAGCGATAGGAGGGCTTTTCAATGCCGATGCCAGCTCCTACGGCTGAAATACTGGCAAGTGGCCAGCCAGGCAAGCGTGATCTCCTCTGCAAAGCTCAACCTCAACGTCAAAAAGAGAGCAGAGATCCCAATTGCTCCGTGGCCCCCCAACGGCAATCGCCAGATCCCACAGCCTCGTCCCCGCTGCCCGTCACGGTAGACTCTTCACCTGCAGCCTTGCCCGGCAAACAAACATAAAATCCACGTGGAGCATATGTCGTCCGAAGCTTGAAAATTAAATGCCCCGGCCCCTTCCCCACGTGCCCACGTGCCCACGTCCTCTCTCGCGCAAGACTCGCCAGCTTCTCTCTTCTGCAGCCACGGGCAATATAAAGCGGGTACGGGAGGATCGATGTGAGATCTAGATCCTGCGCTTCCTTTTCCCGAGGATGGGGTCTAGGGTGTAAGGCTAGACTTGGGACCTGGGCGGCTCGGAACGTCGCGAACGTTGGGTGCCAGGAGAGACCTACGTAGCCAGACAGCTGCCGGAAAGGCTTATCTATCTGACTTACGGAGTAGGTGTATCTTAGGCGCCGGGGGGCAATGGCGAGGTTCAGCAGGATGTACAGAGTACATACGGATCCGAGCGGAGGGATAGGATGGGATCCGGGTGTTGGTGTTTGGACGACGTTTGGTAAAGTGGGCGGGCGTGTTCCATGCCATGTGGGAATTATAAATAGATCCCCTCGCGTATCTATCCGTAGCTAACCGAGAAGCTGCTGAGGCGAAAGATAGTGGTAGTTCTGTTTGTTTACTTTTCGCTATCATCAGCATCTTCCCGATTCGCAGTTCCCAGACCAGATTATCTATCGGAGTCAGAAGAGTCATATGCACGTGGCAGCGCACCATCCTATCACTTGGTGACTCCCTACTCTCCGTTGCCCTTGTTCGTCATTCCGTCACCAGTTCGCCAATGACTCTCCCGCCCAGACATCGGGATGAAATCAGCCACTATCACTGAGCGTCAGCGCACGACGTGTGTGTGCCACCAGCTTTCGGGTTCCTTCCGAAGTAGAACAGGGCCGTATGGAAATGCAAATGCAAATTCAAATCCAATCAAAGAATCACGAAAGCGCCGAGGATTTTGTCCTATCACTCACAGGTAGTTCTCCTACCGTTAGGGAGGTAGTTCTACACCGAAACATTGACATGTAAATTGACTAACTGACTAACTAACTGACTGGAGCGAATAAACACCTCTAGATCTCACACCAAACATCTCTCACCCTCAAAAAGGCATGCCTCGGTGATAGATAATAAAAAGCGGCGGGCGGGGGCCAAGTACTGATTACAAAGTATATCTACTCCATCTGCCGTCCCTTCTCTTCTCTCCCTCCCCCTCCAGTTCCCAAGAACACCAATCACCAACCAAAACCCAACACACACAAGAAACTAAAAAAAAGACATCCCGGAAGAATTCTAGAACAAACAACCCCATCTAGAATACCCCCCACTCCCTTCTTTTCTCCCATTCCCATTCCCATTCCCATTCCTATTTTCCATTCCCGGTTCCGCGCCAGGAATGCAATGCACAAGCACATGCATGCATGCATGGATACCCGCCAACACGCGACGCGTCGATAGGATGGATGGATGGGTACCAATCAAATATATATATTATTTTTTATTTTTCGAAAAAAAAAAAAAAAA